GTGCAACGGCCCTGCTTCTCACCAGGGCTGGCAGGAAGCATACCCCGTTGCTCAAGGAGTGGGTTCCGAGGTGGCCCCATAAGAGAGGCTCGCTACCTTACGATTGCGAGTCCCTGCGGGTCAGTGAGGAGGAGGAGGAGGAGGAGGAGGAGGAGGAGGAGGGGGCGGAGAAGGAGCAGTGATATCGAGGACGGGAAAGAAGGAGCAGCAAAAACGCGAGGGGAAGACGCGAAGCAGGAGCAACACTAGCCTGGCGAAGGACCCGACCATGTGCAGCTGCGAGAGCCCCGCAAGACGCGTGGGAACCAAGGATGGGGGGAGCTCGCACAAGGAATAAGGCGTGCGTGGTCAGAACGGAGCGGCGTTGCTGATGGGGTCGCAGGGGTCATCCGCAACGGGTCCCATCTGCATGTAACCCGTAACGGCTGATCTGAGCGTCTGTCGGCCTGGCCCTGGGGAGCAGCAGGGCGCGGTCTGGGGAGCAAGCAGGCGGCGGGGCCTGTGGTTGAGAGCTCCTCTGGGCCCCTTGACACGTGCGAGGGGTATGCCAACATAGGCGCGGTCACGCCTTCGATTCCTGCCAGTGGGGCATTCGGTGGAGCTCCCCGTGGGGCCACGACCGACATGGGCGCGGTCATGCATGATAATCATGCCAATGAGGCCTTCGGCGGAGCTCCCTGAGGGGCACCGTGAGAGGGGTGACCCCAAATGGGCGCGGTCACGCTGGCGATTCCTGCCAGTGGGGCCGTCGGTGGAGCTCCATATTGGGCCACGGAACGTGTGAGGGGTGCGCCAAAAGGGTCTGCAGAGGCATGCGAACGCAGCCACTGGGGCCTCAGGCGGAGCTCCGTATGGGGCCGCGAAACGTGTACACGCTGGTCGGAAGAAGTAGGTAAACACATGAAGTAGGAAGGCGGGTAAAGTAGATTGGGTTCAGGCCCTCCCAGAGAAAACCAACGCACAGCATAATCAGATCGGCTCTTGAAGTAGGAAAGCGCTTGAAGTAGATTGGGATCTGGGAGTCCAGAATTACCTACTTTCAACGACCGGCGTGTAATGGGCGTGCCGATATGGGCACGGTCACGCATGCGATTCCTGCCAACGAGGCCTTACGTGCAGCCGCCTCTGGGGCCACGTGCAAAGGGTGTGCCGACGTGCGGCCAGTCACGCACACGAGCCCTGCCTCGGGAGCCTTCGGTGGAGCTCCAGGTTCGGCCCCGAAGCGTGTGCGCCGTGCGCCGAAATGGTTTGGAAAAGACGTGCGAGCGCAAGCGTCGGGGCGGCATACGGGCGAGAACGGTGGGGCCTCAGGTGGCGCCCACTGCAAGGCCACGAAACGCGTGAGAGGTGTGCCAAAGTGGGGTAGTGGCGGCATGCGGGTGCAACCACTGGGGCCTTAGGTGGAACTCCCTAGGGGGGCACGAACAAAGTGAGCGGTGCGCCAAAGTGGGCTGGCAGCGGCATGCGGGCGCAAGCACTGGGGGCTGAGGTGTGGCCCCCTATTGGGCAATGAAACGTGTGAGCGGCACGCCGAAATTATCTGGAGAAGACATGCGGGCGTACGCCAAGGTGGGGTGGTGGCAGCATGCGGGCGCAGCCACCGGGGCCTTGGGTGGAATTCCTGATAGGGTCACGAGACGTGTGAGGAGTGTGCAAACATGAATGGCGGCATTCGGGCGCAACTGCTAGGGCATCAGGTGGAGCTCACTAGTGTACCACGGAACGTGAGAGGTACGCCAGAGCGGGGCGGTGGCGGCACGCGGGCGCAGCCAGTGGGACTTTGAATGGAGCTCCGTATGGGGCCCCGACGCGTGTAAGCGGTGTGCCAAAATGGGGTGGTGGCGGCCTGCGGACGCAACCACTGAGGCCTTGGGTGGAGCTCCCTATGGGGAGGCCAAAGTGGGTGGTGGCGGAATGCGGGCGCAACCAGGGGGGCCTTAGATGGAACTCCCCATGAGTCCACGAAACGTGTGAGCGGTGTGGCAAAGTGGGGTGGCGCTAGAGAGAAGGGACGAGGGGGAGGAGGGGGAGGAGGGGGAGGAGGAGGGGAGAGGGGAGGAGCGACGCGGGACACCGTTGGTTCAGGGCGAGGACTCGACTCAACACAGGACCGCTGGGACACGGGACGCAACAGGGAGGACGAGGGACGACGACGATGACGAACAGAAGTGCGCAGGTACAGGACGAGCCAGAGGATGAGCGGGCCAGGGGCATGCCTGACCGGGCCCCCATCATAAAGGAAATGGAGGGGTCCCAGGACACACAAATAAATACACACAAATGAAAGTATTCCTCATATGTTCCCCATATTTTCTGGGTTTTGTCTTCCAACCCACTTCCCATATGTTCCCATATTTTCCTTGGAATCGACGATTAATTGTGTCTGTGTGTTTTTCCCCCTCCTGAGGAAAGTTGAGCCGCGGAGACGGCCGAATCCTGGAAATCACATAGGGCCGAGTGACGCATTCGAGCTCCATTTCGCTCCGCTCGGTTGGCCAACGTCCCCGAGGAGAACGCGGGAGGAGGGGTGGAGGGCGGGAGATGGAGGGAGAGAGGGAAGCAGGGAGTGTTGAGGAAGGGGAAGGAAATCATGGAGTGCAAAGTCGAAGACAGGGCCTAGGGCGGAGGAGGGATGGGGGGAAAGGCGAATGAGGGGATTCAGAGATGCAAGACGAAGGGAAAGGAACATGCGGAAAGGGACAGAGAGGAGCGGGGAAGAAAGCGGAGCGAGGAAGAGCAGTGAAGAAGGGAGGAAGGGAAAGGAAGAATAGAGAGGAGGGGGTGAGAGGAGGAACATAGCGAGGAGGAGAGATAACGATGGAAAGAGGAAGAGAGAGAGAGAGAGATAGGACGAGAGAGAAAGAGGGCGAGAGAGAGAGAAAGCGAGAGAGATAGAGAGAGCGAGAAAGAAAGAGAGGGACGGAGAGAGAGGCGGGAAAACAAGAGGAAAGATGAGGAATTAAGGTGTGCGCTCGATGCTTCCAACTGGTCCCCTGGACGTGATAGTATGAATGTCCAGCAAGGAGTCTGGCAGGGAGAACAGGAGCAGGAGAACATGAGGAAGAGGACGGGAAGCATAATATCCTGAGATGAGGTGGGGGTGAGGGAAAAACAGGATCAAAACGCTGTGCAGTTCGAGAAGCAGACGGGCATCCCGTTCACTTGGCTGTGCGCGACGAGCTAAGGTTCGGAGCAGGTGTCGGAAGCAACCTTGCGGTTAGCGGGCGTTTCCCAGAATGAGATAGACGCCGGTTTCGCTTCGGATCCTGCGAGCAGAATGCAGATCTATATGGTTGCGAAACTGGGGCTCCCCGTGCGACTCACACGAAATTTAAACAAAGCTCGGGGCTTTGTGAATGGCGCGGCTGCCGTGGTCCAGGAGAGCTCGTGCGGGAACGAGGTGTTTGCGGCGCGTCTCCGGGGAACTGGGAACCTGATACTAGTGCATCCGTTGTGCGAGGACGGTCGCGTGTTTCTGCCATGCTGCTGGAGTTATGCGACGACTATCAGGAAGGCCCAGGGGGCCAGCATACTCGCGGGCGCCATATGGTTCAATCAGAAAAGACACGCCGCCGTTCGCGGCTACGGCTACGTGGCCGTCTCCAGATTCTCTGCTGAGCGGGGCTCTTTCATTTTCGGGAGGCTCCGGCAGTCTGACTTTTTGCCAGTGGGAGGCCGAGGCCACCACCATCGTCATCATCTCATCGCCATCGACAACGTCATCAGCATCATCACCAACAACAACATCGCGATCAACATCATCATCATCATCATCATTATCATCATCATCATCATCATCATCATCCTCATCATCATCATCATCATCATCATCATCATCAACATCATCATCACCATCCTCATCCTCATCCTCATGCTCATCATCATCACCACCATCATCAGCATCATCGTCCTCATCATCACCATCACCATCGTCAGCATCACCATCACCACCATGTCATCATCAACGACAGCATCATCATCGTCATCAGATGTTTCTTTATTTCCGCTGCCCCTTCACTTTTCACACCTACTGTTCATTTCACCCCGACTCCTCCTCATCTTCATTCTCGACCGCTTCATTCCTGCCGTCTCTTCCACATCCTTATCGCACTCCTCTCTTCCTCATCCTCAGCCTGCCTCTCATCCATCATCCATCTACCACTTCTCTCACATCCACAGAGGAGAACCGAAAGCCGCAGCAGTGCTCCATCTTGCGCGGTCCTACATCTGCTGCTCCTCCTTCTCCCCTCGTCCTCCGGCGTGCTCAAATGTTCAGCCCGCTGCTCCTCATTCTGGATCTGGTTCCTGGTGGCTGCAACATCCTCCGGATGTAGCCTCCGCCCCTCCTTCTCCCTCTCCTCCTGCTCACTCATGAACATTTTGGGGCTGGAGGCTCCCCTGGGCGGGGAAGGGATTGCCAGGATGGCGGGTGTAGGCCCTGCACGCGGCCAAGACGTGGCGGATCCAGTCGTCTCTGTCCTCTTCCTCCTAGCAGTCCTCCTCATGCTAGTCATTCCTGGTCCTTCTGCTAACGTGCTCCTGTCCCTCCTGGCGCTTCCATTCTCTTCCACCTCGATCCAGTCTGTGGCATCCTGGATTCCCGGCCCTCTCAGCATAAGCCCAAGGCACTCGAGAAGGCAGTCCAGGTCCAGATCCGCAGTTCTCCTCTATGCCCCTGCAGGCCTCTAGCAAACAATCTGGCTGTCTGATGTCTCAGGAGGGCCACCAGCCATGCCGGGTTTCCGCCTTCCTCGCTAACTACGCCCTCTGCCGTCGGCTATACGCAGGGGTGACCCTGTGTAAGAGTGACCTTTGGTGCGCGGCTTTTTGGAGGCCGCGGGGGGACCAAACACAGGCGCGCAAGGCGCTACTATCGCATCGCGTTCGGCGATCGGAGGGCCCCACTAGGCCCGCACCAAAGGTCACGCTGGCGAAAGGTCACTCTTACGTCTAGCCGACTGAAGCAACAGAAAGACCTGTCTTCGCGCGGAGGGGCGCTCCCGGTCAGCTGCGGCCCGGCGGCAGCAGCCTTGCGGTTCGCCTCGGCTCACGAGGCGGCGATCGCAGGGAGGGGTGATGGGCGTGTTTTCCACCACCACCACTAAAGGTTGGAGGGGGGGTCCTTCTCCTCCTCCTCGTCCTTCTCCTCCTCCTCTTCGTCGTCCTCCCCCTCCTCCTTCTCCTCCTGCTCCTCCTCCTCCTCCTCTTCCTCCTCCTCCTCCTCCTCCTTCCCCCCTCCAACTTATGGTGGTGGTGGTGGTGGAATATAAGCACATCAAGGGGTATTGATCGGCTACACGCAGGAGCGACCCCAGGAAAAACTAGCCTGGCGAAGGACCCAACCATATGCAGCTGCGCGAACCGCAACTATAAATCCCTTATTCAATGGAGCTCCCTGTGGGGCCGCGAAACGTGTGAGGGGTGTGCCGAAATGAGCGAGGCGGACGCATGCGGGCGGTGGCTGGGGCATTCGGTGGAGCTCCCTATGGGGCCACGAAGCGTGTGAATGGTGTGCCGAAGTTGGTGTGGCGGACGCATGCGGGCTGCGCCACTGGGACCTTCGGTGGAGCTCCCTATGGGGCCACGAAACGTGTGGGGCGTGCGCCAACATGGGTGTGGCGGACGCGTGCGGGCGGTGGGGCCTTCGGTGGAGCTCCCTATGGGGCCACGAAACGTGTGAGGGGTGTGCCGAAATGGGTGTGCGTGACGCATGCGGGCTGCGCCACTGGGACCTTCGGTGGAGCTCCCTATGGGGCCACGAAGCGAGTGAGGGGTGTCTCCCAATGGGGCCACGAAGCGTGTGAGGGGGTGTGCCGAAATGGGTATGCGTGACGCATGCGGGCTGCGTCACTGGGACCTTCGGTGGAGCTCCCTATGGGGCCACGAAACGTGTGAGGGGTGTGCCGAAATGGGTGTGCGTGACGCATGCGGGCTGCGCCACTGGGACCTTCGGTGGAGCTCCCCATGGGGCCACGAAACGTGTGAGGGGTGTGCCGAAATGGGTGTGTGCGCGACGCATGCGGGCTGCACTGGGACCTTCGGTGGAGTTCCCTATGGGGCCACGAAACGTGTGAGGGGTGTGCCGAAGTGGGTGTGAGTGACGCATGCGGGCTGCGCCACTGGGACCTTCGGTGGAGCTCCCTATGGGGCCACGAAGCGAATGAGGGGTGTCTCCCAATGGGGCCACGAAACGTGTGACGGGTGTGCCGACATGGGTGTGCGTGACGCGTGCGGGCTGCGCCACTGGGACCTTTGGTGGAGCTCCCTATGGGGCCACGCAACGTGTGAAGGGTGTGCCGAAGTGGGTGTGCGTGACGCATGCGGGCTGCGCCACTGGGACCTTGGGTGGAGCTCCCTATGGGGCCACGAAACGTGTGAGGGGTGTGCCGAAATGGGTGTGCGTGACGCACGCGGGCTGCGCCACTGGAACCTTCGGTGGAGCTCCCTATGGGGCCGCGAAACGTGTGAGGGGTGTGCCGAAATGGGTGTGAGTGACGCATGCGGGCTGCGCCACTGGGACCTTCGGTGGAGCTCCCTATGGGGCCACGAAGCGTGTGAAGGGTGTGCCGAAGTGGGCGTGCGTGACGCATGCGGGCTGCGCCACTGGGACCTTCGGTGGAGCTCCCTATGGGGCCACGATCATCGTGAGGGTTGCACCGACGATGATGACGAGGAGGATGATGATGACGCTGACGGTAATGATGGCGGCGATAGCGACGATGATGACGACGATGATGGTGATTTCAGTCGCCATGCTTACCTTGATGGCACCGGGATGCTGCCGAGCAGCGTCTCCCTTAAAGGCACTCAGCGACAGTGCAGAGCCGAAGTCTGCCCGAGCTCTGCACAGAGGGGCTATCGCTGACCGCGCCGAAGGAAAGAGTGCCTTCAACGAGGAGCGCCCTCGCACACGCGTGCACGCACGATCTGCCCGCTGCGGCATGTGAGCCTCTGGCTCGGATGACTGGGAGGCGGGTTGTCCTGGTCGCAATCCGATGTGATGCTCGCGCTGGAGATTCGCGGCTATCTATCGGGGGAGAGATGCGGCCTGCCGAATTGAACGCTGCCCCGTGCGGGAGCCGTTCCGAAACCGCATGCGGGAGCCGCTGCCTGGATCGGATGCGGGGGCCGCTCCGCAACATCACTGAGGGGCCTCGTCTTCGGGTCGCTTACCATGGCTCGCTTGATAATTCAAAATCATCCGATCAAACACGAAATCGTACTGATAGCCCTCGCGGAAGAACAGGTCTTTGAGAAGGCGGCGCAGTTAGGCGTAGTCGGGGCGGTCCTCGAAGCGCAGGCTGCGGCAGTAGTTGAGGTACGTCACGAACTCGGCGGGAAAGTGTTCGCACAAGACCTCGATCGGTGCAGACATCTTCTTCTCCATGATTTTCTCGTACCTCTCCTTCTTGAAGTTGGCCTTAAGGCCCTGCCATGGCAGGCTGCCGCGGTTGAAGTACATCAGAACGTACCCCACCGCCTCCAGATCGTCACGCCTGCTCTGCCCGATGCCGAGGTGCGTGTGCACGCTCGCGTACCTGGCAGTGCCTTTCAAGTTCTTGCCCTCGCGATACGGGATGTGCTGCTGGGTCTTGGGGTCCTGTACTTTTTGGCAAGCCCGAAATCGATGATGTGCACCTGGTTTGCCTTCTTGCCCAGGCCGATGAGGAAGTTGTCGGGCTTGATGGGGGGGACTTGTTCATGAAGCGGTACTCGATCTCGGAGTTCCGCCTCAGCATCTCCCTGTCGGTCAGCTCGAAGCTGCAGGCAGGGAGTCGTGCAAGGCGCGGTCCAGGAAGATCGAGTGATAGTCCATCTCCGCTTCTGCATTCGCATCTCCGTCACAGGGTGTGTCCATGATGCTCTTCGTGTGTTTGCTGTCTAGCCCTTGGCACCGTTGAGAGCAGCCAGGACGCCGACATGATACATTGAGCATGAAGTTCTTGCGCATTGAGAAAAGAACATGCCGTGAACTTGTTCGCCAGTTCTGCTTATTGGTCTCCTCTATCCAATTCGCATGTGCTGTGAATCTGTACGTTGAGAGCTGCTGCCAATCTCCCAAGGACATGTTACCTAAGACGTTGGGGCGTCCTGGGCACGTTTTGGACGCGTGATGCCAGGATACCGTCACATCATCTGTCTTCTCCTGAGTCCGTGCCAAGTTGATTGTGAGTCTGCATCTCGCACACACCAAGGTCGTCGAACTCGCTGAGCTGAAAGGGGTCAGGAACAAATGGATGTTAGTGTCTGTCCGAGCTTCGATATTGTGGAACAATCTCTTCTCCTCCTTCCGCTTGTGAAAGTTTGGCAAACGCGCAAGGAGTTTCCGATCAGCGTCAGAGAAAGAGTCAGCATGAGTTGTTCGGAGAGCGTTGTGAAAGAGACGTGTCCTGTTCTGAGTCCGTGCCGTTCTCACGACTGAGGATCCGTCTTGAGCTGGAGGAGGTTGCTTGCCTCGTAGTCGCCGTTGTCGATCTTTGCGAAGATCCCCTTTCCACACAGGCGTAACTTGGCTTGCAGGAAACATGATCTGTGCCCATGGAGTAATTGTTGGTTTCTTGACCTGCTCCACGGCAAGGTTGAAAAGGAAGGAGTTGACGGCGTCTGGTTGAAGAAGTCGGAGGCGTCCGTGGAATCCCGTCGAAATTTCTAGGCCGAGTGGATACAGCTGGCGACATTCCTTGACTAGCTGGAACACGCTCTGACTGACTCTCTGACCTTTGTGATATGATTTCTGCTTAATCCGATAGCCCTTATAACGGCGACGAGGCGACGATCGAAAGCAGTGCCCCGGCACTGCTTTGAACGCGTTCAAAGCAGTGCCCCGGCACTGCTTTGAACGTATGATATGATGATATGATGATGATTATGATTGATGATGATGATGATTTTTCCAGCGTACACTGTCCGCAACTGCGGCAATCAACATCATGCTCCACTTGCCCGCAACTGCGGCCATCACCAACGCTGCGCCTCGAAGCTCCACGGAGGGCGCTCGGCAGGTCGCCCGCTCGAGCCCCACTCGACTTCACGCTGAGGAGGCGAGCCCTCAGGGGCATTGTCCGCAACTGCGGCATGATCAGAGGGCCACCACTGCGCGCCATCAGCGCCCCATTCGCTCGAGCTCCAGTCCCACCAGGACCAGCCCTGCCATCTCGTGGCGGGACTGCGCGCCTCCCATGCGCCGCTGCCGCTGGCGTCCCAGGACCCAGCCGCCACTGCGGCACAAGAAGGGGTCGCATCGTCGCCGTTGGCAGCTTGCGGCGGTGGCGTGTTCCCAGCTCGCTCAGCCCCAGCGTCTCTCCCCGCAACTGCGGTTCCCATCTGGGGTCGGACGCCCTTCCCCGCAACTGCGGTGTCCGCGTAGCTGCCCTTCTTGCCGCCCTTCTTGCCGCCCTTCCTGCCGCCCTTCCTGCGTTCCAACCTCGCGGCGAGTCTTTCAGGTGACCTGCGGCACGTATTGTGCGTGAAAGCCACCAGAGGGAAGTGCGCTCCGTGCCTCGCCCTGCCGAAGGCGCCATGCCATATCTTGTCGTCGAGGTTGCCCTGCTTCACTCTGAAGGGATAGCGCACCCAATCGTCGCGTTCCCTGCGCGCCATCCTTTGCTCGAACTCCGCATCTGCGGTCAAGGATTCGCCAGATGGCGTCAGGAAGGCGCGCATCTTGTTTTCAACGGGCTCAGCCTTGGGCACGTAAGTCTGAAGCATCTTCCCAGGGCCATTCGTGTAGTCGAAGACAGGGAAAGACGGATCATGCTGGGTCGTCAAGAATCCGCCCTCACGGTCGTGCAGAACACTCAGGCCATGGTGAAGCTTGTACTGCCCAGGACAGTTTATGAACAAAATCGCCATGCTGTCTGCCCTGGGCTGGCCGCCTGCTGTCTTCCAGGGGGTCCACGCGGCGACGTCCACAGTCAGGCCGCAATTGCGGCACCAGGACACAAGCTGGAACATGCACATGTTGAAGTCCCCCATGCAGACCTTCACGTCCCATTCCCTGACGTAGGCGACGAACCAGTTGTAGAACTCATGGAGCTTCGTGACGCCCCAGTCTTGGTTGGCCAAGCTGTGGTGGACGTGCACCGCCATGACGTTGAAGGAGCCCCCCAAATGGGGCACGGCCTGGTCCAGGTGGACGCGCACCACCATCGCCCTGGAGTACTTGTTGTGCAGCTTTGGCGCAGGAGCCTCCGCAACTGCGGACTGTTTCTTCTTCTTCTTCGTTTTGGACTTCTCCTGCTTGTGGAAGAGTCTCGCAAAGTCTACGTGTTCAATGTGGCCGCCACTGCGGTCCCTCATGCCAACAAGGAGGGTCCCTGATGGCTCGCCGCCCTTAACGCACAGGTAGTTGTATTGAGTCCGACTCCGAAACCTATCGTCCGCAACTGCGGCTGCACTGTCCCTCGCGTCGTGCTCCCCACTGAGTACCGCGCAGGTCTCGTCGTCGCACTCGCAGAGGGCGATGATCTGGGCAGGGTTCGCGCGGAGCTGCGCCCACTCGTCCGCGCGTTGCGTGGGTCTAGCTGCAGTCCCTCCGAAGTTGGCCACGTAGAAGCCGACCCGTCCCGCTTCGAACTCCGTTTTCTCCTCCCATGCGTCGACAAGAGCTCTTTGTTTTTCCGACAGATTGCTTGTCTCGATGATGGGCACCCGTTTCCAGGTTCTCCGCGACGACAACACTCTCGGCATGTAGGAGTCATGTGCTGCCGCAACTGCGGCTCCCGCACCTCCCCGGGACTCAGCCTCGTCAGCGGAGGCAGCCGAGGACGCGACGGTGCTGTCGCCATCTTGCGTCCGCTGGTCGTCGTCATCATCCGCAACTGCGGCTTCCTCGTCTTTGCCTCCCTCCTCCTCCTCAGCGTTGTGGATGAACACCGTTCTGGCGAATCGAAATCCACGGTCCATACTCCCTGAGGATGCGCTCGGGCGCGCGGGCGGCCACATGCTTGCGTCTTCGCGTGCGCCACCTCGAGCCACGGTGGCTACGGAAATGGATCGTGAATGGGCATGGGGTCGGATGGAGGGAGGAGACAAAGAGGATTCGAGGAGTGGCAGAAGGAGGGCGAGGACTCAAAGGAACCGAAAGAACAACAAATGGACTGGCGGAGAAGCAGAAGGAGGGCGACGATTGCAAGGGACTGTGAAAGGATTATTTTCACAGCAGCAGGAAGACCGCAACTGCGGTTTTGCCTCATCTCCTGCCCGCGCGGGAGCCGCTTGGAAAAACAACTTCCCTCTGGACTTCCTGTGGGTCCGCAACTGCGGCCTGCATCACGCTAGGGCTGGGATTACCAGCGCCATTTGCCCTCCCAGGGTTCTCACTGTTTCCGAATGCACGAACTGCGACAGCGCCGAACGGTTCCCAGACGCCGCGTCGTTCGCGACTTTTTGCAGCCACCCAGCAAACGTGAGCGGCCATTGCTCCTTGTGCTGCTTGCACATCTCCTCGTCCCAATGCGTCTTGAACCATGCCCACTCCCCCCTCTGCTCGTCTGAGAGGACGCCTTTTCCGCGAGCCAGGCGATCCAGAGCTGCCATCCTGTTTTTCTTGATCTTGAACTCCTCGGGATTCCACTGCGCTAGGGCGTGTTTGTTAGCCAAAGCCGTTTCCACCGCAACTGCGGCCTCCTTCTTTGCCCTCAAGGCGGCCTCGGCCTCTCGAATCTGCTTCTTGAGATCGTGCAACGCCTTCGTCCTGTCGTTCGCTTCCAGAGCCAGGCGCCGCTTTTTCGCCACCACTGCGGCTTCGTGGTCTCGCTGGGCAGTCAACGCTCGTAGGACCTCGTTGTCCTCCCGCGCCAGCTCTCTCAACCGCTTCTTTTGTTTGTGTTGTTGCTGTCGGCAATCCTGCGCTAGTTTCTCCATGCCCACTTGGCGCAGCATATCTTCCGCCTCGCGGAGCGTTTCTGCCAAGGACGTCGCCACTGCCACCTGCTCGGCCGCCTCTGCGTCGACCACGCAGTCCATGGATACCGAGGATCCTTGAGGCCCAGGTGCCGCAACTGCGGCATCGCACTGTTCCGCAAGAGCCTCGGCCCACGAGGCCTCCTCTTGCTCTTCGTCCTCCTCGTGCTCCTCGTGCACCTCCTCCTCCTCCTCCTCCCCGCCCTCCTCATCGCCCTCCTCGTGGCCTGGCTCCTGGCCTAGCGCTTCGTCGCCGAGCTTCTCCAACACGGAATCTGTGGCGTCGTGTTTCTCGTATTCGTGTATGAGACGCAGCACGTCATTGTAGGACCATTTCAAACGTTTCTGCTCGCATTCTTCCCTCACCTCCGCGACTGCGGTGTCCACTTTTGCTCGCAGCCCCCCTGCTTCCCAGAGTTCCGCCGCCTCTCGGCAAATCTCGAGATCTCCTGACTTGTCGAAGGGCGCTCGAATTCCCACTTTCAGGAAACCTTTCGCGGCGTCCAAGTGCAACTGCACATTCTCCAACACTGACAGCATCAAGTCGGCGCAATCGGAACGCCGCAACTGCGGCACGTGCTTCCCCAACGCCATTTGCTGCACCAGCGCTTTGGTCTCGAGGGCAATGTACCGGCGCTTCACGTGCTGGTTCAAGTCCGTGTCCACGGGCTGCGCAACTGCGGTCGCCCCCCCGCCGTGAATGATCAGCACGTAGCCGCGCTGCCAGGCGAGTCTCCGCACAGCGTCTGCTTTGTGCGGGGAATGGTCGTCGGCCATGAGGATGCGCCACTTTCCCCGCAACTGCGGGTCGTCGGGCCAGGCCCGCAAGTGCCGCTGCAAGAATGATACAACGTCGTCTGCGCGGTAGGACCCCTTCTCGGACGTCGCCGTGCTCACCCAAGACGGATAGCCGCGACTGCGGGCATGTGCGGCCAAGCCCTCAGCGATGACAGATCCCCCCTTGAACATTAGCTCCGCCGGCGGTGGTCCGCAACTGCGGATGTCCTCCGCGTCGCTCGACACCGTCAGGTTCGCTGTCCACCGAGCCCTGCTGTCGTCATGCGCCTCGACAAGCGGGACAATGCCACCCTTCACAGCCAAGGTCGGCTTCGAGGCCGACGACGACTCGTTGTGGTGAAAGGGCGACTGGTCCCAGTTCAGGATGTGCGGGTCGTACCCCAGAAGCTCCTCTGCAGCTGCGCGGACCCTGGCCACGTTCAAGATCATAGTCTCAAAACGAGATTGGAGCAACCATTTTGGCACCTTGTACTTGCGGTTCGGTTCTTCATGCTCAGGCCAGGAGCCACTTCACCACCATCAGCAACTGCGGGTCTTTCGGTTTGCCTCCCCGCTTCATTGTCTCCACGCAGTAGTCCGCGACGAGTTGCTTCGCCTTCGTAACCAGCAGGGATTGGGAGAACCTGGCCAACATCTTGGGCCTCTCCTCCGCAACTGCGGTTCGCTTGGCCACCGCCTTCCAGTCCACGGAGTACCTCATGTGGGACCACCACTCGTACAGAGCGGCTTCCAGCCATGGAGCCTTGTTCGGGCGCCCTTGGTTGCCCCGCGCGCGGCGTCGGCCATGC